CACGAGTCATCGCTTCTGGGTCACCGGACACACGGAGGGAGAAGTGTGAGAGAGCTGAGTTCATCCTTGGCGTTCTGAGATGCAGAACCACGCTCGGGTCTTGTATGCGTGTTTCGGAGACACAGCATACATCGATTTTAAGGGAGTACAAGGTTTCAGCAAGCATAGCTTGTTTGACAATTTGACATAGAGTACGGACGTTAAAAGCTCCTATATAGAAAGGATCTCGTGGATTTAGGAAGGCGTTATTTTGTTTAATGTTTGTAGGCGGCGAGGAGCATAAGGCCCTTCGGTTAGATGACTGACAGTCAAATGGCCCAGCGACTTTTGCTTGTGCGGTGGGGAGGGGTTGGGGAGGGACATCGGTGGACGCTGAACTGCGCAAGAAGAATCACAAACACAACGAGCTTAAGAGATCCCACGGCTGGCCAAATTATCAACGCCTCAAGCTGCATACGTGTGTTTGACACATACATGATCCTTACTGTACGCGCTCGGTCAGCTGAAGAACGCTCTAAGCATTCAACAAGGGTACAAAGATCTTGTCACGCTTTTTTCTTTGTCATAGACCACAGCCTGTTCTCCTGTTTCTCTATTTTCTGCATGAGTTTTGAGTGACAAGAACTCATACATAGTACGACTGTTATTGTTTCACGCAGGAAAATTTACATATTCTGGTGAGAAATATCCTGGAACAACTGCTCAAAAGCTACGGCGCACGGTTATTGATTGATCAAGTCAGCCTGTTAAAAACGGACGTTGATACCCTACAGAACGTCACCAGTTTCATCGCACAATCCCAACAAGAAACACTTGCCGATATTTCCTATTTACAAGGGCAAGTCGTTGGATATAAAAACGTCTTGAACAGGGCTTTTGAGACGTTGTGCCCTAAACTGACCTCGCCTGCAACGGCTACGGAATGTACCACACTAAAAGTGAGTTGATCAGTTCAAACCAGTCATGCCCCCAGATAATTTTCTTCTGGTTACAACCATAGTCTACAGTGAATGAAATAGGCATTTCACTCTATTCAACTACAAAATAGAGTTATATGTTACTGCTTAATCACTCACGAAAACCGCGGTCATCATTAACGAACATAAGTTGTCTATTTTCCAAGGAAACTATCGTAGTCGGTTTGTACATTTTGTGATCGGACTGATCAGGTGCAACAGGTTTAAGATAAAATCTACTCAACCAAATTTTCGAGAATCCATTGTCGTGTAGTCTGGACCAAAGCTGATTTAGGATTCCGGTGAAACGTGGTGTAACTGCAGTGATATTTTCGAACATTTCCGTTCACGTCTTAGTGGCGGTAGAAGACGAAACCTTGGCCACAGACTCAGACAAATGGCTTAGATTTAAGTGCAAGTGTCTCTCGGTAAAGCACTCTCAAATATCAGACTTGCACTCACTAATTTTGCGTTGTTTGGATGATGAGATCTTGGTCATTTCCAAGAGTGTACATTAATTTTGCCCACTCGGAGGAGTGCCTGAGTATGCTGCTCTCACTTTACACCATTCCCTTAGCACACAGAAACCAGTAGTCGTTCAGGGTAGCAAAGTATCTTTATTATTACAATGCTTCATTATTGCCCTTCCTGAAGATACTAATACAGATCTGAAAGGTTACTATTTGAGAAATTCTCTGTATACTCACAAATGTTGCTTTTAACATCCGCAGGCAGACGTTGAACAGTGGAAAACAAATTTCAACGCTAGTAATCTCCTGGTGAATCCTAGTATTACGCTATCTGAAGTCACTGAATTATTTGGTGTGAACATTACGCAACTTTTGAGCGAGTTTGATAAACTAGAAGCAGAACTGGACCGAAAATCAAATGAGATGGTAGCTCAGGTGAGTTGTGCTGTGAGAGTATCCCGTTTAACTGAACCTGGTTTACTAGTATCTTTTCTCAAGTCAGTTATCGAATTTTGGCATGGATTCGCCGCAGTTCTCCCAGCATAGTACAAACTTGACTTTTTGTAAATACAGTCAGGTTGAATCTCGGTTTATCGGTTTTTTATATGGATAACTTTAAATGAAAAAATTGGTGATTGCTTTATAGCAAGGCAATTTTGTTAACTCAATCTCCATGTTTGTTACTTTTCACACTGTAAGGTCACATTAAGGAGGCACGGAGGTGGTTGGACAGTAGTCATGTAATACACAGCTAGTTGTTTGATTTGTGCTGAAGATTTGTTTGGTATTTTTGGGGAACACAAAGTCAGTCCACCTGGAAGGATAAGACAAATTTTCTTCATTCTGCACAAAACTTCGAGTGACGTAGCCTCATCAATTGCCTGCTTACATAATCCCAACCGTTGTGGACCGATTTCCTGGCGTTTCATGCACGATCCGAAATGCTAGGTCCCAACTAACAACGTCAGCTGCGCAGTTTTTGGAAATGCAAGGCAAACAACGTAGTCGTCAAATGATGTCATTTCTCACGCCCCCTGAGCCTGTAAGTATATAGAGCAGAAAAGAAATAATCGTTCAGCTGTAGCACTCTCCCGTTGCCTAACTGCCATGCCACACGAAGGAAGCACGAGTGCTTGGATACTGCCAGGTTGCCCATAGACAGAGAAAGTCGAAAGAAAGGTAGGGGTTGGAACCATGGACATTCTGGTCAGTAGATTTGCGCTATAACCACTTGAGACATTTCGCCCCTGGGCATAATGGAACAATTAGGGGGAAAATTATGATAATGATTATATGTGAAATGTATAGGAATTCTCTTTTCTATATTCCAGTATTCCGGTCGCCAAGTTATCTTTGAAAGGTGGTTAGATTCGACTGATTCCGCTTTGTTCTGAGTGAAATGCACTAATCATAGCAGCTCAACTCTTTCAGGGTTTCTAATGGCTCCAAATTTGTGTTTCAATGTATTAGCAAAAATATTTTGGCAATATCGTTTTACATTACTACATAATTGTACCTTTAGGCTACAGTGTAACCACAGCTTCTCTAACAGATCTGCTAGTTTGCGCACTGCAATGTTCGCAACTTTCATAAGTAGGTAGTAGTCCCCAGCAGATGTATGTGTGAACAAGAAGGCCACATTGTGGTTGAGTGGTTAACGTTACTCTGGTTTGTGGAAACATAGGATCCCATCCTGAAGAGTTCAGCCGGGTATTTGTAATCCGATGGACTCAGGATTTACAGCCAGTGAAGGAGCGGTACAGCGGTAAGGAGAACAAGCCATAAAAAGGGCTGAGCATACTTGTAGTTCTAATTTATTGAGTTTGGACATTCTATACAGCCGTCATACAGTTGAACTATTGGGTTTCATACTGTCAAATATGTGTGTAGATGTATTGGTGATTTCTACGTCCTTTAAAGTGCGCAAGGCTTAAACGCTTTCTGAATATCATCTGTTGGGAATTCACAACCAATCAGCGCAACATCTTTTATTCATTGCCACAATCCCTCTATCCGGCTGGCTAACGACTAGATCCGGGTTGTTCTTTAGTCCTTACAAGACGTTCACAGGCTTTTTGGCAGGATACAAAACCAGCGGACATATTCATGGGTGTCTGATGAGATATCTTTAGCACTCATGCGCCCATTCAAAAGTCTACTTAAAATCTGAAAGAGTTCGACGGAATAAAAGTAAATCAGTCTTATTCTAATTACAGCACATGGTCACCTAGTTGGTCCTACTTCAAGATCAATGTTTCCAGAAGGTAAATGTGGGGGTGTCTAGTGAAGGATAATCACTTTCGCGTACGTTAAAGGAGCATCGTCTGAGGGCTTGGTGATAAAGATAACTAAAAAACGCACAATCTTTATCACTTTTTGCTTCAAATTACGAACAAATTGGAGTAAGTATTGTTCGTCTAATTAAAAATTTGCTGGAAAAGATTGGGGTCTAGGAGAATCAAACTACGAATACACGTCGTTTGTAAAGAAAGATAAGAGAACTTTCTTTCGATGATAATCGTTGTTTTAGCACATTCAGGAGGGGGGCATCTGTTGGAACGAGCTCAAAAGAACTACCCATGGCTACACAGACCATTTGTCTGTAAGCTTCCATTTCAAACTCGGCGCATAATTCTGGTTTACAGTAGTGCCAGTTCCTTTAGTTCTTCTGGTAAGATACATGCAAGTATTTTGTGGGTGGAGACGTTATTTCGGGGATATACTAGCGTCTGCTGGAGAATGACATTCACAAGGCGGGCTCCTTATCAGTAGAATACATGTCTTGTGTAATCACCACGACATGGTCCGGAATGGATGCAGGCTGGAAGCAATATTCAGTAAACAGTTATGATCAAGGAATGATTTATTCACCAATCAACTACGCGGAATGATGCAAACAAAGAATTAGTCTCACAGACAATCCAAACTTGCGTATAGTTGAAGCACGTTGTAGGTCAGGAGAATTGCGGCTCATGGAGTTAATTTGGCTGTAAACTATTTGAAATGAATTTGCCTACAGAGAAAGTGCAAAGTTTCCTTAGAATTTGTTTTTTGCTAATTGGTTTATGCCTGTAGTTTTGATTCATCTGGGAGAATTATCTGTACCATATTGCCAATGCCCTCTGTTACATGATCACAACACCAGCATCTTCGCCAGGCTTGTGACTTACAGAACCATTCGTCGTTCTTAGCGTCCTAATAGCGTATTAGTTTCTCCATTTGGTCATAGAGAGTTTCAGGCTGCACTTGAGTCCGAAGGCAGTCAGTCCTGAGAATAAAGCCAATATTTTCTCTTGTAAATGGACTGGTTAGTAGATTTTGGACTGTAGGCTGTTTAGAGCTGGGGAATTCGGCCATTTTTATAGGTGTAGCGACAATGAACAATGTTGTTCCTGGATCCCAGCACGTTTTGCCGAGAAACGACCTCAAGTTCTCTTCGTTGGATACCCGGGTGAGTATCTGAGTCAGTGCACCAAAAAACGGCTGTTGTGCATTTATGCACATCTATAGGGTGCATTTGTCGCTGTTTCTTAATGTGATATAGTAAGCCTCCATTCATTGTATGGAGTGAACCCCCCCCCCTCCGAACAATGAAAATTTCCCTGAACTAATTGTCTGACATAAAGGAAAAATCTGTCAGCGCGAATGAAAATGGTTTCAACAGGAAAAACTTTGTCAAACTAAGAGTTCAGAGAACCAACCAAACTCTGACAGAATGTTGACGTATCAGGGTCACGAAAGTCGGAACAACCGATGGTGGAAACCATTTTTCTAGCAGCATCGTCTAATCCGATAAACAGGACATTCTGTTCATTTTGTGAGAGGTTCTCCAAACAATGGCAGTATGGTTCCCGTTGAAGCCTGTTTTCGTGGACAGGCTTAAAATATTATGATCAGGGTAAGCAAGTGAATGACACCCGTAAACATTGAAGATAGTTGAAGACAGGAACACAGTTTGGGACATTTGAGAGACATGATTACAGAGGTTGAGGCCTCATCCCCCGTGGTGAACAGCTTAGCCAGCCATACACCCCATCACTTATGACAGCCACCGTTTTTGTTTTTGTTTTCAAAAAGGGCGCCTTTTTCAATATCTTTAAATTTTTAAATGTTGTTGTCCTGAATAACTTAGATTTTCATTAGATTTCGAGTATACTGATTAGTTACGAGTCAGAGTTAATGATGGTCTCATGAACGTTTACTTGAATGTTTAGAAGCATCTCCACCATTTTGGACGGAAATTTCTCTCGAACCTTAATTTTGCCGAATTTTTTCGTGAAGTCTGAGTAAAAAATATGGTGCAATTGTTCTATGGACTTTCGCTAGCAAATGTGCCTCTGGCCGTATTAACGATATATTTCTCTGACTGCTCGAGAAAGTCTTTTCTCCCTCATTTCGGTTCCCGAGGGGCATTTTACGGCTCAGCAGTCAAAATGCATGGTTGTAACCTTGTAACTATTTGCCCAGTATGCCATTTTCCTTTTTCGGTAACTTTAATAAAGGCTTCCAGACCATCACTCTAAAGGATGCTTTTGAGTATGTGTGAGAGAGAGATAGACGGGCCTAGGTGGGACGCGCAATTATCTCAAGGTCCCCGGCACGGACTGGTTGAATTGACGGTGAACACAAACAGCCAAAATCAGTTGAATAGAAGTCTTCCGCCAGCCATATTGAAACGCGCCCTAATGTGGTATAAGTTCCTGGGCCCTACTCATGAAAGACAATGTTAACAGTAAATTGCTGGCCGGTCTAAGGCTGGTGCACATTGCACTACTGAATTCTTTATTGCTCAAGAAATGTAACAAGGCTCTTGGTTATCTGAAATGCTGCAGATTGTCTCTTGCCAAGTAAGCAGTAATACTCAGACCACACTCAGACCATTCTATCTCCTCTTAACTAAGGCTGTCTTCAGTGTACATCTGACAGTGATTTTTAGAACTTATTGCGTTACCTTCAATAAACAGAACATAGATTATTCACTCAACCATCTCTTACGAGAATTATTTTATTTTCTATTTGGCTTTTTTGCAGAGTTGCCATTTTCATACTTGTATGTGGCGGTGGTATGCAAATTATACCTTTCGCAGCTTCACGGTTCCCGATCGCTTAAACACGTCGTGTTTTGTTGGTTTTTTCAGATTGAAGGCCAATTCAACCTCACCGAGCAATTTCAAGCTCTGAATCAACTGTGGGACGAAATCAATACCAGTATTGGCGAACCGGCTGTTAGAAGCGTCAATCAAATCAGCCCAACAGTGACCAGTATAATTCACTCAACTGGGATGGCCGTTGCTGGAGTTGGTTACTTTTTCCTCATCATATGCACGCTGGCTCTTCTTGTTATAATAATCTACATCATTCTGTTGGCTACAGAAGCGTACGAACGAGATTTGTTAAGTACGTGTGATGTATGTCTCACACCAAATGGATAGGAAATTCCTCACTTAAAAGGATTTGAATCTATTCTATGTTGATTAAGACCTTTGGATCGTTTTATATTAGACTGAGTAGCTATATGAAGCAGAAACCTTTTGATCAATAGCACTAGTGACACATTTTCGTTCTCGAAATTCTGGCTATGGTGCATACGCCTCATTTTCGGAGATTTAATTCTCGGTACAAGGGATAAGGCTGTTCACGGTTTCATTTTAGAATGTTTGACAAAAACTGCGAATTGCGTACGTATATTTGATACAGGCTCGGCATTGATGACACTTGTGTCACCTGCGGCTCCTGATTTCATCTTAAACTTATGTATTTTCCGAGATTGACATCTGGATGATGTTTTTATAACCTGTAGCACGCAACACCGACAGTTAGAAATTCTGTAACAAACTGTATTGCACATCCACTTTTACTGTGTGCAATGAGGCAAAAATGCTATGTTTGACCTCTTGAACTATAAGACTTCTGTGGATGCTCACGAAGTCTAAATACAATCACTTAACAATCCCTGCTCAGATGTTAAAGCCTAATAAAAGACAGTGTTCTGGACTGACACAGTTGGCCAAATTTCCCTGGTAACCCTGACTTCAGACATGTATAATAAGAGGTTATCTAGAAAAAGCAAAATCCGGTTAAGGCTTTCTTTTCTTTACAGTCAGATTGTCATATGCAGATGGAGGCCACCCAAAAAGATATCACAAGAATAGAGTTTTCGTATGATCATCGTTATCATCGACAGCATGACATCAGTGTTCAACACCGAGGCTTCACTGGCGTACAACCATGATTTATTTGAAAGCCTTATTGAAAAGAAAAGAATGAAGGTGGACGGGAAGGGACTTGGTGCTAGCTTGCCATAATCATTCCGAAATGCCTAAACTTCCGGACATTCACTCAGGCGATCTGGATATAAACTGACAACAAGAACGCCGCTGACATCCGTTGGCAGCCATATCTTGTAATGTTTCCAATCAGGTACAGTGCGGATCACGCGGTCCCCATCCTGGAAGGCGAGTGGCACCGAGAACACACAAGCGTTTCGTGATCTCTTTCACATTCCGCAACACATGTCCCAACCAACATAGCATCTGGTGCTGGACAAATTCGTTGCGCAACCGGAAACGCACTTTCTAACTGCCTCGTTACAGATTCACCGACATCAACCCACACGAGCTATGATTCTGAGACAACTTCTCAGTCCCGCTGCTCGAATAGGCCAAGTCTCACAGCCATACAACAAATTAGCCTGCACTGTAGCTTGATACACACGTCCCTTCAAATTCAGCGATAAAGCATTCCGACGCCACAGGTGTCTCAAATTAGCAAACGCGACCGGAGCCTTGCAGATTGGTGCATTCACTTCATCTGTCACACTACAGTCAGAACTAATACAACTTCCAAGATACGTAAAACTTTCCTCTACTTTCAGTGCCCGTCCATGGATCGTAAGTGGCGTGTTCAGTGACTGCACGTCCATGAGCCTTATGCTTTGTAGGTGCAAAGTGCATACCAAAAGACAGGATGACTTTGGTCAGTTCATCCAAAAACACCTGCGCCTTCTCCTCCTCTTCGAACGTGAAAACAATGTCGTCTGCATATTCCAGATCGACAAGGTCTTCGTATATTCCTTCGAGTGGACTATTCCCTGCAATGATACCATATGAGGACTAAGGAGTGGACTGCTAAGAAGGAGTGTGAAAACAGTGTTCAACTTACTCGGTTTACCAGTTGTTCGGCTTTCAATATCTGACAAACTTCCAGGAGAACGGGACTACAAAGTAAGAAGGGCATTTACATGCTACTCAGGAAACCATGCCGAAGGTAACACCCAAAGGGAGCTTGGTAGTATCTGTTCACGCATTAAGTAAGGGGTATTGTAGGAACGCTAAAAAGACACCAAATTCTCACCAAATGTACTCCAGTGCCTGGATCCGGAATAAAAATATACGGGTATCGATTACGCGAACAGACCTTCGCCCTCAGCGATCACAATCATTACATAACAGTGGTGAAGGCGTTTCGTAGTCCGGCCTGGACTGATACTATTGGTCTCCGACAGGTTACGACTACCACTCGTGGAACACCAGAAAAATCACTTCTTGTGTCCTCACCCCAGGTTGTAGCGACCCTGAAAGCAGATATGGCAACCGACCATGACCTGAAAATGTCACAGTCGTAGTCTCTACCTTTATGCAATAATTGCATAGTTCTTGATCTGCATCTTTTCATTTTTAGGTATGCCTCATCAACAAAAGAAGCGTTGAATTAAATACACCTATCTCACTCGTAAAGTTAGTGGCTAATAGCAGTTAGCTCATGGCACCCATATTTCTTCACTTGACGAGAGGACCGCCGTTGAGTATTCGGTTTATTTCTTATTATTTTCAGTCATCCGGAAAGACCTTATGGAGGAACACTGCTACGAAAACACAATGTCCGCCTATGCGTCTATCCCTCATACGTTTCCACCTTCGACCCATCATATAAAGTGTGGAATAATTTTTTCAGCTGTTTTGTGTAGCACAATTCCACTGGTCGTGTTGGTTGGAGGGGCAACCATTTTACTGACCAGTGTTGGAAGCAATGAAGCATGTCGCTATTCGACCAATCCGTCTGGACTAAAGATAACCGATGAGGCTCTTAACCTTTACATTCGGTATGTTTGGCCGGAATTCATTGCAAATCAGTCCATCGATCCCGGTATCCTGGATCTGTTGAATTTACCTACACCAAAAGACGTAGTCGATGGTCTGTTGGTCAAGTGTAAGCAGACAGGTTCCAATCCAGAACCCGGATTACTGCCCTCTGTTGGTGTGGACCAGCTTGTCAACGTGACAGCCGTATTAGAGCAACCAAGGTTGCAAGAATCCATAGACAAGGCAGAGAAGTAAGTCACTGTTAACAACAAGTAACAAAACAGCGACCGTACTGATTGGGTGTGATTATGAACATTGGACTGGGCCTTGTGCATCTTTTTGTTTTGTGTTAAACTTGGTTCATGCATTTTTAAATCAAATGATGTTCTAGTCAAATAAGGGATCAGTGGGTATTCACTCTATGGAGTTGTGAAAAATGGAGATGTTTATAATACAGTTGGAAGTGTTAAGATGTATATTCTTTTCCGGATGGTGAGTACTTCACTAGCGCAATACTAAACAATTTTCATTCAAGAAGTATATCTACATAAGCCAGCCACCTATTCAAGGGTAACTGAGTTGCTGATCTAGCAAACTAGAAGTCCCACATTCTACCATCACCTTCGGTAACTACTCAGTTATACGCTTGTGCCGAGTATCATATCATCGTTAAACAAATTGTCTGTGAGACAGAAGGCGAACACAATCGCATTTACCTGAGTGTTAGGTGGAAGAAACCATACTCACGTACAACTGCAGCAGGTCTAAACAAAACCAGCCGTGTCATCGACAAAAAGCACACCCTTTTTATAAAGTATCAGATAATTTCGAACCGATCGCGAATGATAGGATCCACACTGTTGTCGACCAGAAATGCGATTTGAATCCGACTGCATGATCCGGTACTTCGCGTCCAGAAGAAACTTGTGCGACCTCTAATCTTGAGCTGCTCTGAGAAATATTCGGTCCCACAAACTTTGCTGACACCGATATCGCTCACTTGACTCCGTGACACGTTGATCCGTGTGCATCCTACTCAACACATCATTCCTTCTTTTTTCTTTCTTCCATTGAACCTTATCTACGCCTTATTCCTACGTAAACTTTTGACATGGTTTCTGGTATTATATGGGTTTGTAATAGAAGGCAAATCATGGAACACAAGCTCTGTTTGCTACCCTCGTTCTTCCCATGATTTCTATGGGTGCATTCCAACACTGGACTGTCTTTACGACTGCAGAGAACTGCTGAAGCTATCGAGTGATTGAGTTAAGTATTGTTTACAGCGGTTCGCACTTTTCCTGTGGAAAACAATATTTTTGGCTGTCGTTTGCAAAATCCGATCAATGAGTGGTGGCCCTGAATTAGTTGTTTTGGCCAATTGAAAGATCTGAGTTGAAAACTGACTGAAGAATAGTAGTAGGCTATGATAGTATGTTGTACACTCCATTAGTAATTCGGATAGTTTTTTAGTGCAGTATTATTTTCAACACACGCAGCCGATGTTTCGTTGGCTGTGCGTTCCTTAATACCTCCAGAGTGGAGGAAATGGCTTTCTGTCGTTCGCGGTATTAAACGTGTTTTATGATGCATCCCTTTGCCTACTATTGCGTCCTCGTTAGGTTTGCCTGCACCACACTCCTCTGTATCATCTTGACAAGTTTGCCATCCAATTTTTCTCAGTGCTTGCTTAACGTTGCGTCACAATCTAGTCTGCACAGAGCCGGTCGAATATATACGTACTTTGGATATAAAGCGCTCCGTTTCCCAATTGGGTCTTGGTCCCCATTAAATGCACTAAATATGTTTGAAGTACTTAGCGTTCCCCTTCTGTCTGTTTAGTCCTCGCTCTTCTTCTGCCATGACATAGAGGACAGATTCCTAATCCGTTTGTTAGGCATTTTAGACATCTGTTTACACTGTTCAGCTTTTCGGAGACATTCTACGTGGTTTTTTGCTTTGCAAGCATGCTATAAGATTGCCAAGGGGTTTCGTCTGTCACTTAATGGTTCTTTTACGACGAACTATGCAAAGCTTCTGAAGTGGAACAAGACTTAAAAGTAAAACCGGTGCCTCATCGTACATCAGTCTAAAGCAGCAATACTGTCCGCTGTCCTGTCTGATTGGTTGTAGATCACGAACTCCTCAGAATTGCCACTAGAGAATGACTTCTGTATTCTCGTCATTTTATGTCACTTTTGAATGTGTCTGTTTTTTACTAAAAAGTTCCACGTCACGTTTCAGAGAATTCACCATCCGGGCTCATAAGGCTTTAGTGAAGTTGATTCCGGTTAAGTACTTGGCCACAAAACTCAGCCTACTAATAATCGCTGTGTGAGGAAATTTCTGCATATTCTAAAGCGATTTTGCCCAAAGAGTCATTTTCCAACTGCCCAATTTGCCTGTTTTAGTACGTTGGTCACTGAAATAGTTCAGTTTGATTTCTCATCTTTCATTCCGGGAAATGTGGACGAGCTGTTTGCAACTATCACCAATATCACCTCTTATCTGGACAATTCTGATTACACGGTAAGTATTTCTGTACTACATATGACAACCCCAATATCAATGACATCACTGTAAAGCTATTCCATAGAATTGATGGTAATCTGCGTGAATCGTTGAATTTGAAACCATACATCTGCCTTTCCATATCGTTTGCCTGATTTCATTTGACTGATTTGGTGGGCTAAACTAAGTAATCGATGCTCGTGCAGCTCATGTGTGCCAAGTTAAGACGGGTATTCAGAGGTTCAGGCTGCTGGAAACCCAGAGAGTACCAAGGGAACTCCAGACTTCCCACTCGGGACTTATGCGTATATTCTCTGCAATTAATTACGAGATAAAATACAACCGATTCGAACTGACACATATTACTGAGTTTGGTAACTCCCAATTTCTACGTATATTACTACACAATTTTTTATTTTTCATTTTTATGTAGAACTAAGACACATGGTACAAGCGGACTGGAAATCCTCGATAAAGGTTCAATGTGATCATATTAGCTCTTGATCTACTTACGGTGATGAACGCCAATGTCAGGACGGCGTAAATATATGTTCGTCTCTAAGCATCGAACTCAAAAGTTTCGAATTCTGCAGAGTGATGACTGAATAATACAAGTCTATTTCTGACTGGTTTACAGGATTTATCATTTATGATAAAAACTAAATTATTTCTCATTCTTCCAAGTACTTTCCGTCCAAGCGCTTATACGTAGCATGCCTGGATATGCCAACATAATTATTTAAACTAGCGTTAAGTTGAAAAAAGGATCGGAGAGGTCTGAAAGCTTGATTTTCCTTTAACCCAGTCAAGAACTATTCACATTCACCAAGTTACTTTGTAAATTCGCCTTTGGTGTAGACGCGGCGATGACTCCGTGCAAGCTGTAAGTGACTGCGAAATTCATAGGAGCCAGATTCAACTCACTCTCTGCCTTGACACAATTATTCCGGTGATTCCAATTCGAGGGGAAAGCAATGAACTCGAGTTTCGCTCAGATTAGAGCTCAGCGCATGAGGACTTTTTAAACGAGAGGGATGCGAATGTAAACTCTATGCAAGTCCATGATCATCGATCGATCAACTGATGTAAGTCTCATCAGAATATTAGTGTTAAGGAAGGCTTCCAAGCGATATTCATGACCCAGTTTATTGATCATTTGCGGCTGATTCGTAAAACTCGCTTAATACGCAGCGTAATAAAATCCACCAACTTAAAGTCACCGTCCGGCTTTCATGTTCACCTTCAATAGCTGCCCCACTTAATTCTTCTGATTACGAACCTACCGAGTAATATTCGGTCTCAGATACCTTGCTCGCTATCTAGGCGCAAACACCTAACTGGAGCTGTTGTTGCTACCCGTTTGTTTCGATTTGGTCATCACTCCATCTACGCAGCTGAGATTTGTCTAAAAGAACCTTTTCCATGCAACAAACTACTGACTTGTTCCTCTACGTTTACACCAACTATTGTCAGTGAATGTTGACGAGCTTAGCATTCGATGTTGTGACAGCCTTTTGTTTCTGTTACCAAGCTGGTTTATTACAATTGCAGACAAGTATCCTCTCTCATTGTTATCTTGTAACAAAGTGTTAAATGAACTTCTACATATAATTGTCCTATTTGTAACATGTCCGTACAACACAGCCCAGTATTGCAGAGCTGCGCGAGTCACTGTCGAACATCACATGGATTTCCGACTACACGAACAAGCTTTCACTATTTGTCATATCATACATGAATCAATACGCCGAAGCTCTGACTATTAGCACTACTGTGGAGGCTATTCAGAGTGAACTGAAAAAGGCCGAGGAAGTGAATACCGAGATAAGACAGCTGATACGAGCATTTGAAATACTACAACTTTATCGGAATTTTACAACACAACTGCTGCAAATGGAACAATCTTTAAAGAATCTAATTCAGGTAAGTCAGTGGTCATTCTACATGCTAATCAAAGTCCAACACGCGTAAGGACTCGCTTGGATTTCGAAAACTATACAAGGTCACAATTTAGCAGACCAGATGTTATCGGTTACCTGACATCCTGGGACACGGACCTCAGAAACACATCTCTGTCTTGTAGTCCTGCACAATTGACTGGCATGCGAAGGCCATAAAACATATAAACAGCGGTAATGAGGCAAGAAGTCAGTTGAAACTGAATGGACTCAAAACTAGTTTTTTGAATGCAAAGTTCTCTATAAGATTGAAAATGCTACAAGAATACTCATTAGTAATAATCCAGATGTGTTAGCATCCAAATACGCTCAAAAACAAAAAGACGTTTGCAAAAACCGTTGTCACCTCTCTGCTAATTGGCCAAAAACTGGTTTGTTTCCAAAGAACACTATATCAGTCGACAACATGAAGCTTAGTTTGTATAAACGCATTCTAAGAATAGTTCCTACTTCTGCTGGGTATTGCTGTATGCAGTGTGATGCCTGATTACTTCTATATTTGGAGGTTATAACACTCACCGTTTGCTTTGTTCGCCGTTCCGATGCCCCTTCTTATAAAATCCAAAGAAACCTTTTAGAATATCGGCACAGTATTCCGTATGATTGAGGTCGAATGGTTTGTACACTATGTGATATCTATTTGAGTTGACTGACGGTGAAAAACCACAGCGATGATTGTGGAGTCTCTCTCAACTCAAGGTTTCGACTTCCCTGAACGAATTTTGTGAGGAGGATTATAATCGGAATGGCAAAGGACTGTTTTGCTTCTGAAGAGGTCATCCAAAGTGACTGAAACCTTAAGCTATAAAACCCTACAATCATAGTTGTGCTTTTAGCCACCAACCAAACTTCGAAAGAGACGTTTCGGCCTTCATCAAGTTTCTCTGGGAATTTTTGGAGGTTAGTGCAAAGCCCAGTAGGTGAACTTTCCCTGTTTTACCCATGGATCAATATTCAAGACATAAGTTGGTCAGAATATCATATTTTGCATCGCACTACAACAAACGGGTGACGAAGTAGTTAACAAGGTATCACTTTTTTACTTTGACGATTCAACGAACTAGAACCCTTCATTGCTTCATCTGCCAGTGAACATCCAAAAAACGATCATATTGTCTGAGGCCTGGAGCAACCGGGGGCTGTTTGCTCCTCTGCGGTTGAGTGGCTTTACATATTATTTATCAAAACCTCATTGAATGGCAATGATACTCAAGTACGGTTCTGCTGTCACAGGGTGCCTGTCCGCCCATGGTGCTTGGATTACATAGTACTGACGGACAATGCTGACAGACAAACCGTTTCTAAACGAGCTTTGTAAGCACCGTAAACATCTCCGAGACAGACAGCATAGGTAAAAAAACTCCAAATCTGTTCAGCTACAGTCACAGTACTCTAACGATTTACCGAAACCTTTGTTTTTGATCAAACTGGAAGCTCTTGAGGGCTGACGTTCAGAAAGTTTGGAGAGTTGTGAAGGCGAAAACATGGGGTCCTATTTCTTCTTTGGAAGTTACAACATAGGCTTGTGTAAACTGGAACAAGATCACAGCAAACAGGCATCGATTGTGCCAACGGCCTGCTCAGAAATGTGGTAAAATTGATTATTAGTTCAATTTATGTTTTTCGTCGTTTTGAGCAGTTTTTTGAGACCCCGATGGAAATATAGCCCACTTGCTTAAAAATCACTAGTCTTTAAGACTACTAACAAGCCAAATTTACAAGATTTTGTAAGATACTGATTTTTTATTCAGCGACTAACCGTTTTTGTTGCAGTCTTGGAGCTCAGCCCAACTAAGACTGTTCGATTAAAACCAATATATTTAAAATGGACAAAAATGTGTTCCTTTAAAGTGTTTCTTCCAGTCAATTCCCACTTTCCTTTCTATGTCATGTCTTGCCTGAGCAAAGTCGACTAACGGAGCCAACTAGTCTGGTTGGGTTGTATTTTTGTTCTTCCGCAGTGTAAAAATTAGATAAGATTTTTCTGACATCGCAATGCTTTTCGGGGTTTGTCCGATTGTTATGATTGTTTAGTATCGGTGGGTCATTCTTCTAAGGTTATTTTTAGTTTAGGTGAGAAAGCGATACACTCATTTTGTTGGCAAAAATCACCCCTCACAAATCTTGAATCTCGGTCCGTCCCTTATAGTGGCACTGGGATGAATGGGATTAATTTGGTTACGCTTTGAGGAGTTGACTTGCACTGACTTTTATTGTTTTGTTTCTATTTGGTTCGGTGTCTTTGGAAACACTGTCGTTTATGTGCACATTGTGTATGATTATGCTGGTTACCTGGAAGAACACATTGGTGACCCTTCTGCACAGGCCACCTTTTTTGGACAGTAATTATATCAGAGACGTCTTTATTCACCTCTTTGTCCCATCTCTAGAGATGCTACATCAGCAAAGCGGTGCGTTTTAACACTTTAACTGCCAGCGTAGGAACATGATGAATCCTCCCGCACGGTAATTTAGAACGATACCGACACCTGGACAAACTGTCACAGTGGCTTCTGAATCGCAAGAGTTCTCCAGACGGAATCGAAAGGGGAGTGATGGATTAGTAGCTCAACTATTGTCCTCGGGGGTCAAATGATTGTTTTCAATAAGCAACATGCATCGATTTCAAGCGAGTCCAGTATACAAACAATAGTAGTTTTCCACTTGCTTCAGGTGGCAAAAACTAAAATCAGCCAGATAAAATGGATTTTGAAGCCTGAAGACTGATTTTAAGATACCTGAGGTTGTCGGGGTCGGTTGATGCGTAGATTACGCAGGTAAGACCGCCGTAAGACGAAGGTAATAGTCAGTCCTGGTGACAATAAATCACCAAGACCAATATTACTGATGGGTGGGGGAGAGAGAAACGTCTGTAAAAAAAAGAGGAAGGATGAAAGCGTCAGCAGTAATATGTTTCTGCTCATCCGCCTTGAGGTATGCAACAAGTAAGATACCCGATTAAGGCACCACACAAAGATTGATGTGGCATGGGATGATTTCTGGTTGTATTCTAGCTGGGATACCGCCAGGGCGGAAGACTGGAGTCTCAACTAAAGCTTTTGACCTGACTGCAAGGCAGCAGTGGCTCGCTTGGGTTCCAGTAGTCTAAATTTCAAGGGAAAATTGCAACGTTTGTTCCAATCCCCGACCTGAAGGGCCATAAAACCGTGTATGCCATACTTTTATCCATTGACCAAGCTGGTGATAGAGATTCTGTTAGTGTCGTACAAATACCGACCCACCCTCGTCCTCTATAACCTATAGAGCCATGGAGGCGCCAAAGCCGTCCCCTTGGTCAGCTTCAGTCCCTCCGCGACGAAGGTGTACTTAAAAACTATCGAATTATTTGTTCAAACAGATAAGAGACTGATAGGTAACAAAAAGTGATGTGCTACTGTTGACAAACTATTGACGTGACGAATAATCGACGTCGAAAAACATTGGTATGACTAGGTGAATGCTCTAGTCGCGGCGTCGTTGTGGATGCTAAGTCTACGGCTTTGCAGCCAATAAAATTAACCACGGCAGCAACCCATCTATCAGAGACTTAGGTTAAGTGATCCGATTACCCAATTCTCATTGGCTAACTTTATTAGCAGGTTTAGCCGGGGTGTGAGTAATATCGAGCTTATTTCGTAGCTCGGATAATCTGCAAACGTAATGTGTCATGTAGTCGAATCCATCCAGCTTTAGGCCTTATTGGTTCTCTGTCCCACTATATTATAAGTGACAATATGTAAGTATTCGGAATGAAAATAAAACCTTCACTATCCTAAGCTACTACCGCGGACGAACACACGTCACGTAAACCAAAACGTCATTATTCGGTCTTACTACTTTGCAACAGAGCTTCAGCGAGTAGAAGAGAAATAGCAAAAGGATGAATTTTTAATGCTTGTAGGAACGCTCTACTCATCTTTATGAGTATATCAGTGATAAAAGCTCCATGTGCACTTTTGGCGAACTGCGTGATGTGAAAGTACCTACATTATCATCGAACTTGCGACAGATCTTATCCTTCAGCGGCCATTTTGGCTAAAAACCATGCATACCTTAAACCGACATAAACTAATGAGGTCATTACGTGTCATTTTTATCTGGGTAGTTTTAAACCAGGTCTGCACAGGATTACGTATTTCATTAACTATCGTCAGCTTGTGTTTTTGTCACACAGATTCACTGTTGCTGAGGCCTTGTCCGCGTGAACTTTTGAGCTAACTTTTCGCATACGTTAGCACACGTATCCACCCACGGAACTAAATTATTGATAATGAGAAAAGCGCTAATTCAAGTTCTACCTACCCATCCATCGACCATGGGAAAAACGTAGTTTCGTAGTCTGCCGTCTGCCGCATCTGTTAAAAACTGCGAAGCTATTGCTGTTGAAAAGATTAGGCAATCATCTGCTCAATCTTTAAAGAAATGAACACTTGGCACAGACCCTTATCCATTTATTGAAATCAAACAATTTGAACTTTACCATTGTGTTGAATGTATGTGCATATAAGAAAAAATCAATCCTCCACTGTTATAGCAGGTAGTCCTTGTCACACTGAAATAAGTCACTGCGAAGGTGAGCGGGTGAACACACAATCCCTACCCTTGTTCAATTTCGTAATCGAAGATTTGAGGTTAGTTGTTGGTATTCGCGGGACATATAAAATCCACACTCACATCAACCTCTTGTGAACAGTTCTCCACCTGTCATGGAGCAGTTATTCCCGTGAATACTTCGAGTGCAACAAGCGTGTGCCGATGGGGTAGTGGTAGCACGCCTGCCCCCAAACCAAATACCCGTATTTCATACTTAAACATAGCCAAAGGTATACACTTAGATGAGCTCTAATAAGAGCAAAACACGACTTATGTGTTCCCCTTTTTTTGACAAGTACTTTTGACAGAGTACAGGACCGTCTTTAACCAAGTGACTCTATTCGGTGGAACTATGGTGTTCTGATTGCTTTTCCAAGTCAGCCTGAGCGTGAGAGGTTAATTTTCTTCCACAACCTTTTTCATCACTCATCACTTGTTGTTGCCTGCAAAAGAGTTAATAAAGAGCCTTACGTTTCGGATCTTTCTAGTATCTCTATAGTATACAACCCTGTTACATGAGGTCCCGAGATTTGACGAGAACGTCCGCCAATGATCGCAACATATGCGACTCTGAATGGTCACGTGCTAATGTCGTCGATTTGGGTACTAATGTTGAATCAGCTGACGGATGAAAATTGGATATTTTCTCTGGATTAAACGCTAACGTAATGTTCAAATAAAACACGTGAAGGGAAGTAGTCGACTCACCACTCATATAGTATTGATACCAAACAAGACAAATTCCAGCCAGTCAGCTGATAATTGACGCTAGGCATTTGTTCACCAGCCCACCTTCTGAGAAGTCGTCACTCGAGAAGTAGCCAATTCGTGACCACGTGATGTGGATTCCGTGTTTAAAGGATGAGTGGTGTCATGTCCTGTTAATATGAGAGCCAATCATAACGTTGACCAGCCATTCATGGTCAAAGCGTTGTGTTGACCAATGGCCGGAAGGCTACGAGTTCGAAACTCTGAGCTTCGTGAGATACGCACTGTTGGTGATTCTGCTTCCTAACAAGGATGAAACACATGTACACTACTTCTGTTTCACAGCTTGTCGGCATTCACTGACAGGGTGAAATCTCGATAGGATGGTTTAGGTGTGCTCCCACAAGGCTCGCGACCCATTAGTTATTATTATTCAGATGCACTAGATCGGCAGTATTGTCTCACTATGTTGCAAACTAAAAAACATTGAAGCTCATGCGAAAATTCGATTGCTGTTGACCAGCGGCACTCACTGTATTAGAAAGAGCCACTTAGTAATAAGAAAACTTGATTACAAAGAATACACATAAGAACCCAGAGATTACCTGATGGATTTCTAGCATGGAAAGGATTAAGAATGGACTGAAACTAACCAAATTACCTAACCAAAATGTCAAGAATGTTTGAATCTAAAGTGTACCTTTTTTAACTGAAGCCAATTTAAATGGACAGGTTAGTGTTGATTTCAGTGTTCTGTTATATATTTGTCATTTGAACATCATCCTCGAGAACAACACACTGGTACTTCACTTCATCACAACCACGTCACTTTATTGGATAAGTGTGCAGATTTTGGCTGTGCTGCCGGAGCCTTCAGACCTAGACAGAAGGACGCTTATGGTCCTGAGTCTTGGCTCAAAAGCCTAGCCGCAATGCATCGCACCACCACTCCTTGCAAAACTGAAATGATAGGCTCGCTGAGTGTCACATGTGCACTCGGCAATATAGCTCGGTAGGTTATAGAGGTTCACACACCGCCACACATCGGCAAGTTTCAGTCTCCTTGTGAACGAATTGTCTTCTTTGAGGAACGACGTTGTTCACGTACCAAGCACCCTGATGCAGTCACTGGCATTTTACGCAAAACTCGCACAAGTCGCCAATAAAAAAATATTCCGACGCAGAGCTGATCAACTTCTTCCAACCAAACAGCTCCTTGGAAAAGTAGCACCAGAAAGTAACTCATGCTTCACATCTGAAGTAGATTTTGGGTCCACCATAACCATTGTATCAAAACAATACGGCTACAGATCCGATACCGGGATGCTTAACCAACATACGGAGGCAGTTGAGAATGACGGTCTCTAGTGAGGCTGAATCCAAACACTGCAGCCGAATCAAATGTCACTGTATCATCGTTGGCAATATCACAAGAAGCTACGGTTAAACGAGACGGAAAATTCTAGAATATTCACTGACCTATGGCGAGCCGACTGGGATTGAGGGTGAAAACTAGCCAGCTTGAGTGAAAATCTAAGCACATGAGCCCCACAAAATCTAAAGCAGTTGTCCACTGTTTTGGTGAGAGGAAAAACTACCCAACTATACTTCTGGACCATTTTCGTCAACCCAGTTTGCAATACATACAAATAGTCAGTCGGCGGCTGTAAGTAGCTAATACTTCTTGGAATGTTCTTGCGTATACTGGGCCAATAATCCACTTGAATTTGCCACTGTTGGCTTGGATCTTGGTAGATGCAGAACGTGTTACAAAGAAAAAATGTAATCAAGTCAAAAACGCATTCATCCTTGTTCTTCTCATCTGTCCTATTCTCCACAGATTTTGAAAGATCCTGCCGCGCTTGAAGCACCAATCCGTCCAACTTACAGAGAAAACGTGAGGATCGCACTGCGTAACCTAACTGCACTGCTGAATGTCACCACCAGTCAGTTTACGAAAGACGTAATCACATGCGGCAGTGTGAACACTATTGCAGTTTCGGTAATCGGAGCTACCTGTGGCAAAGATGGGATAATCAGTCGCCTTGGAGGATTTTGCTTTATTCTATTAATTCTTATCGGAGCGCTTCTGCTGACAGTACTTGCGTTTCAATTTTTTCTATGTCTACATGAACACCATTGTTTGTATGCAACAAATCAGGGCATTCCACTTCATTTGTTTGTGAAATTTGTTTACCGTCATCTTGCCCACGAGTACAAATGAAAACTGAATGTCGCCACGCGACATTCAACAGAACAGTCCAACTCAGGCGTTCGTCTGGATGATTTCCATCCGCACTCGTCTATGACGAGATTACTTCTGCGCATGTTTCGCGTTTATTTCTGTTGCGCCACCACAACGTGTCGCTGATACCAGTGCTTTTTTTACTTCGGTGCGCTTTTTGGTGCTTATTTTCTCCTGTCTTTCTGACAAATCGTTTCCGGAGGCCAAAAATTAGAAATAAGTCGCCCAAGTATTGCATTAAACAGTACCAGTTGGTATCATGTTGCCACAATTACAGAATACTGGTTAGATGTTTTCAGCGAAGAGAGCACCATTCTGGCTGGGGTGTTTGGCATGGATTTAGACTTATGCAGGCTGTTAGCACCTAATAACTAGCTATCGTTCGAAACTGCTCCGCTGGTTAACAGCACTTCATCGACTGGCGGCCTGAAGACAGCTAGGAAACCAAAACTCCCTTGCTCGCAGCCTATTGTGCAACATGTCGGCCAGTGATGTATATGTGAACCTGAGGGGATGAGACCAATGACAAAACAGTGAGGACTTTTGAGAACCCTCAGCATGCGTAAGCATGAGAGCACGCTAATGACATCGGCATTAGTCTTTTCACACACAGGTAGTGGCGTGATCGATTATTACCCCAGATTTCCACAAATAAATTACCGTAATGATATTCTGGAAGATACCTATCGGTGTACCCCTGGGTGGGGTTGCATATCCATGCTGTGAACCAAATGGCCAAAACTGATGTTTGCCAGTAAAGTTACCTTAAAGAGAAGGTGGAGCATCGAGATCTTCATGTTGACAAACTGACACTAGGCAACTCACTGATGCATCCGTTGCAGTGACCAGTGAGCCCGCATGTGGATTCAAAAGTTGGACGAGTCCATCTGTCCAAGGTTTTACTCTATATGATACGAATTTCCTCAAAAATGCGCCTGCATTTGAACATTTAGATAAAGTGCTCTACAAGACCCATTAATTTTGAGCACGCCTAAGTCCTCATAACAACTGTGTGCCATATTTTCTCGAAACAGAAAGACAGGATTACAGTTGGTAAACACGAGGGATGTCATAGTACCGGTATTTTGACAGTACTCGAGTTTGAGTCCCAGTGTTCACCTATCCTTTGTGGGTGTTTTTTGACTAGTGAAGCCGTTTTTCTAGTAAAGTGTCACTTCCAACCACGAGGCATCGACAGCTGCAATTTTGGGTGGGCTATTCCAGCTTGTCTGTCACAAGACGTCAAATCAGTACTTTCTCAACATTTGGACCCAGAAAGAAGTAGGTTTATTGAAGAAACCGTTCGTGCAGCAAGGAATTTTCCACTTTTTAGAGAGTGAACAAGCAACCTCAAATGAGATGTAAGGAAGTTAGTTTCTCTTCTCAAACTAACTACCCAATAGGAACATCTTACGGGCTTTCTAACAAGCATATTTACGGCTGACTGCAATAATAATAAAAGTAATACCACTGTTTCTAGGCTGAGCTTTTCGTCAGCTGATGTGCTTTGGATCGTCCTGGATTATTACACCGTAGCACTTGTCACACTATTGGATCAAAGAATGAAGCAACTACTAGAGTTTCCAGTATAGTTCTTTCGCAGTATAGTCCTGCCGCAATCTTGAAAACAGCAAGCGAATGCAGTCATATCACGGGTGTCCTCTTAATAGTAGGAAGTTGTTTGCATACTAGCGCACATATGCCAGCATACGTAGGATTTTGTTCGTTGTGTGGAGCATAGTGAGCTCTGATCAATTCAACTTTAAGCTTTTTCAGCAGATACATTATGTTTTTCAACGTTAGTGTCACCTTCCGACTCTCTTGCGTGCTGGTACTCATTAATCCAACACTACAGCTTCTACACAACGCAGAGCTTATGAATAACTGGAGACCTGAGGTAAAAATGCCGACTGGACCAAATGATCGTGACCGGTGTGATGCACGGGCATCTTGCTGTGTCGTTTGCAATATGTAGGTGATCTACTGAACTCCTCGCCTGACCACTGGCACAAATGTTGATCAACACTAACTTACCTGTGACTTGATCAATAAAAAATAAACTCGTGGGGCATATCGTTTAGGAGTAATCACGTAAGTCGGAACCTGAGCCCAACAATCGAGCGGGAGATCTGATTCAAAACACAAACAACCCTTTGTAACGATCTGGTCCGTTTTCGAATGTCTGATAAAATGTGATCCCAGCGCTGTTTCAGCAAACAGCTGAATAAATAAAGCAACGTCAAAAGAGGAAGTATCTTGCCTTGATACTGTAAACGCCATCGATAATCCTAAACAGACACTGAATAACTAAAAGTAATTGTTGAAAAAGTCAGCATCAAGTGTGTGTTACTTCTGGTGAAAGTGGGGTCGTGTTTCATTTTCAGGGACTTTCATATTGGTGGGGTTCGTCCTAGCATGTTCGAGAAAGTTCAGGCCTGAAGTCCTTGCTATCCTTGTCATCTGCCCATTGTTGTTAGTAAGCTCAAATTAGATACCTCGGGAGGTCTAGATTCTGGAAATAGCCACAGAATGTCTGGAGCCTACTAGAAACCGTGAACTCCACCGAAATTGCCCCAGAAATATCACTAGACCGATCGGACACTCAGTAAGCGATCAGTGTAAACAGACGATGCCGGAGTGTTCGTCCTTGTCCTAGATACGAGGATAACCATCATCAATAGGACAGCTTCATTCAGGACAAAAAAGCTTTAAATACCGCAATATTCCTTTTATTTTTCAAACTTGCTTGCTCCTACAAAATCAGCTGTATGCTTATTGTATGGCATTCCGTTTCCAGACGGATGGCAGGTTTTGTGTCTCAGTGTGAGTGGCTATGAATCCAAAATAACCCCTCTGTATTTGTGTTAGTAATCCCAGTACAATGGGTCTGCCTAGATCAAACAGCTCGCAATGTTCATGCTACTTGGCATCAAGAGCATTATTAAGTGATTTTGCAACTTATCAGGATCTGTCTATTGCTTCTATTATGTTCACGAATGCGCGATCTCTTTGAAATTCTGGCCCTTCTTACAAAAGCTGCGCTACAACGTCCACAGCGGATGTCAAATGAGTAATTCATGTAAATATTTAGTGGTGTGGGATTCTTGAGATGCATATGTTGTCCTGCTACATTGTTGTAAATATAATCGACTGAGACCGTGTAATCCCATTCCTGAAAGCCTAATTCTGCTAACATTTAGTCGATACCTGATAAATGGAATGAGAAAAGTGTTCTCCATTGGACCTCTAATATCCGTCACACCAAATTTTCTCTACTTTATTTTCTATCACCAATCGTACAAAAGGTAACTGAGGGGCAAGGGGAGCTCAAATACTCGCGGGAACATGTTGCACAGAGAAACTTGAAACTGCGTTTTGATAATTTTATCCATAGTCTGAATGAACCTGTGGATCACTTTCATTCTCATGCCTGAAACATCTTTTCAGCGAGTTTTGTTAAATCTTTCAAGGCTACGGAAAAACGCAGGCCGGTCGCGTTTTGTATTTATTTGTGCCGCTGGACGGACACAGTTTCCACTCAGTTGTCTGCAAAACAGGCATTTGTTGATGCTCACATGGTGACATGCGTTGTCCGTTAGCTCTTGGCATCAGCGACTTTTCTTGACAGTTCAGGACTCCGTGTTAATCATGCACCCAGTGGCTTACCTTTTCCTCCTAGAACTATTGCCATTATTATTCTGTCAATAAGGTATACGTGTGGCAAACGCTTCTAAGACCTTACGGGCCGATCCAAAGCAATTTTTATTTAAAAAAACTGTTTACAGCTTTCTAGCGGGAACTAGTTTATATCTCTAACAGTTTCATATTTATGATAAACGTGCCAAATCCTTGCTCATCGGGACCGATTATTGACCTCACTGCTCAGTTTTACAGCAAATCTTTATGTTGTCAAGTAACAGCCACTGGTATAAAGGTGTTGTGGAGGCTCTCTGCTCTTCTGTACGTGTGGACAAAGTTCGTAAGTTTATTGCGAATCCAACCCCTCCAAGAGAATATGTCCAACTGTAAGGTTGTGTCATTGTTGGTGTGTTATTGTCTTAGTCCAAAACCTGGCGTAAACTGCTTGCACATGAGGCCACATGGAGAGCACATTTGCGTATTGTTTTCCTTATACCTCTATAAACATGTACATGAATTTGGTTGCCCACTCTTTTTCGATACTTGGCATATTTCTTCTTGTGACTTTTTACATTTTTCGTCACTTCCACCAAACTTTTATTCACGGTGGCCTACCATAGATCACCCGTGTGTTTCGTTAAACAAGTCGCACCTAAATTTCTCACCGGTAACAGTAAGAGAATACAGCAGAAATTCTAAAAACATCGCATTTATTTTCCTATCAGGAATATAGTACACACAAGAAACATCATGCAAACGCTTTTAATAAAACGGTTGACGTTACATACTTTGCCCCGTTTGTTTGGTTGAAGGACGGAGCACCCAATTCGGAACTGACTGGAACGAAAGATTAATAACAGCAAATTTGCGACATTCATGACAGTTACGTACGAGCTTTTTTTTAACAACAACAGATACAAGAACGGAATCCTTTAAATACTACGTGGACCACGCCAGAATGTACTTTAAAAATCCTTGTAATCCTTGTTTATTAATGCGAAGTTGATAAACCAAAGTACACAACGTTGCATTAGGTCATATATAACTTTATTTAGCAGTTGTTTCATCTCCATGTTAGATTCCACAGCAGATTATAAATTAAGGATGATGAAAGCGAGGATAAATTTTTTCGCCATGCCACAATTCAACTAGTTCGTGTTAAATGTGGAGAGTGATTACAGAGTGATCAAAATCAGTAATCAAGTGGGCCAGTTGAGCTGCACACATAACCCCCTAATCGAATTGTTCTGAGAGAGATTTATCAACAGAAAATAAAACGATCAAATAGTACAAACCTCCAGCCGTGGGGTTTATCCGGATTCCATACACCGGTACCCAGTGAACAAAGGAAGACAAAACCTACGTGGCTGTATTAAACTGGGTGTGATGCCAGGATCGAAAGGTGGTTCACATTCAGATAAAAAACCAGAAGAGGAAATGTGGACAGAAAACGAGAATCCAGTTGTACACAATAAGTATGGGAGAAAAAATGGAAAAATGGTGTTGCTGCAATAATTTGTCGGAACAAAACTTGGTTTAAGCTTAGAGTGGATGTTAGACACCGGAATATATTCTGATAGATCAACATTCAGGGGATTCATGGCACTCAGTAAAATTGGATGACCGAGCTGGTACAC